AAACTGCAGTGTGTGCTCACCTCGCCATCCCAGCCTCATCTCCAGATCCCCATCTCGGACGACTTCTAGGTCACCACGAAGCTCGCCCGAGAATCTCGGAACCCTGATCGCCCGGCGTTTCGGGCTCATGGGTACTCGGACGCCCTCCAAGCTCTGGTTGAACTGACCGCCAAAAGTCAAAGTCTGCTGGCTGCTGGGCACTCGGCTGCCCTCCAAGCTCTGGTTGAACTGACCGCCAAAAGTCACAGTCTGCTGGCTGCTGGGCAGTCGGATGCCCTCCAAGCTCTGGTCAAGCTCACGAAGCCCTCTCTAGGTGCTCGAGCCATGATAGCCGTCACTGACACTTCTGAGCTGTGCACTCGTGCAGACAGAAGCAACAGCAATGCGACGAAGCCAGGCAAAACAGGACGTGAGCACCTGGTCCAGGAGGCGACGTCGCTTGCCCGGAGGTCCCCTGTCCAGGCTGGCTTCCAAAGGAACAGAGGGTTATGCATGCTGGACCCAACCTTGTCGTCGATCACCGGCCCACGAGCCTGACCAACAGCCGACAAAGCACAGGAGAGCGAGCTGCAACCGAAGCGCCTCAATGATGCCAGCCTCTACATCGGGATGACCGGGAGGTGGGCCAGCCTGCAGCAGGATGACTTCGTGAAGAAGGGCAATGGTGCCAGGCGCCAAGGTCCGGGCCGGGATTGGGTGAATCGTGGATGCAGAAGCCTGCCCAGGCACAAACGATTCAAAGCAGCAAGTCAACTCCAAGCCCGAAACGTCCCAGTCGTCCAAGGTCCAGGCACATGGCAATGGAGTCGACGAAGCAGGATCAACATCCTGCCCCAAGGATCCACTACGGCCACAGCCAACTTCCAAGCAGGGTCCGGCCATGATCAGGAGCATCCGCAACCTGCAGCAGGGCGGAGCTCAGAGAGGTTGGGATGGTGAGGAGGGGTTTGGGCTTTGGGGGTTGGGGGGCTAGGGTTTGGGGTTTGACAAGTTTGAGGTTGGGCTTCGGGGTTCGGGGGTTGGGGTTTGGGCTTTCAAGCTTTGGGGTTTGGTGTTCCGTCTGAACAAGACCCCGGAACCCTGACCCCACCCGAGACCTCGGACCCAACCCCCAACCGAAACCCAAAGGGAAGCTTCGGGATTTGGTGTTTGGGGTTGTTGGGTTGAGGGCTTTGAGCTTTGGGGTTCCCGGTCTCGAGTTTGAAGGCCAGCAGGGGCTTACAGGAGTTAGGAAGCCAACCCCCACGGCACGGCCAGGACAGTTGTTTTCCGATCACAAAAACACGAACGATAAGCTCGAGGCTGTGTGCACCATTCGCCCAACATCGAAATCGCTATATCCCGGCCTATGCACACAATGGCACACAGCAGCCCCGGCCCATGTGAAACTCACCCCTCGCTGCCGATGTGAAACTGGAGATTCAGCTGGCTCTGCTGCTGGCTTTGCTGCTGACGTGTGTGTGTGTGTTGCTGTGTTGGTTAGCTGTGTGTGTGTGTGTGTGGCTGTGTGTTGCTGTGTGTGATGCTGTGTGTGAGCTGTGTGCGAGCTGTGTGTGAGCTGTTTTTGAGCTGTGTGGGAGCTGTGTATGACCATGTGTGACCCTACGACACGCCCTCAGTCAGCATCTCCTTCCACGTCGTGGGTCCTGTCATCGCTGAAGCTGCTGCTGTTGTCGTCCTTCTTCTTGTCATCATCTTTCCTGTCATCGTCGTTCTTCGTGTCGTCATCGTCTTTCCTGTCGCCGTCCTTCTTGTCGTCATCGTCCATTGGCTCATCGTCCTCGCTCGGCAGCATCGGACCCTGCTCCATGTAGATCGCGATGCTCGGCCTGAGCAGCTGGTAGCCTCCACAGCCGCGTCTCGTTGCCCGGTACACCATCTCCTGCACGGTTGCACTGCTCGGTATCGACATGCCAGCCGTCTCCACACCATTCTCAAGCAGGGTCACTTCGTACTGCATGTCAGGCGAGCTCGGCAGGTAGTGGGGCTGAAGCCCCTTCGCCCAACTGGGCTGGGGATGGGGTCCGTCCACGTCATCGCCCTTCATCGTGTTCGTCGTCTTCATGGCCTTCATGGCCTTCATGGCCTTCATCGCCGCGGGCGACTTCATCGCCTTCATGGCCTTCGCCTTGGCCTTCATGGCTGGCCTTGCCTTGGCCTTCATCGCTTTCATCGCCTTGGCCTTCATCGCTTTCATCGCCTTGGCCTTCGCAGCTTTCATCGCCTTGGCCTTCGCAGCTTTCATCGCCTTGGCCTTCATCGCTGTCATCGCCTTGGCCTTCCCAGCTTTCATCGCCTTGGCCTTCATGGCTGTCGTTGGCTTGGCCTTCATGGCTTTCATCGCCTTGGCCTTCTGTGCTCAGGGTGTCAGACAACTCGAGGCCAAAAGTGCGAAGTGTGCTCGGGAGCCAGGCAAGAAAAAACCAGCACAGCACTAGCCAGGTAAGAAAGATCGCAGCGCCGAAGAAAAAAGCCAGGCCACCAGATGTATCGGCGAATCGGCGCAGAAAAGATTGCCAACACAAAGCCAGGTAAAAGCAGGGCGATGGCTCAGACCTAAAGGATCGATAGGCAATTCGTAACCTATACCTACCGATCAACGATCAAAACTTCTCGGACCTAAACGGATCGATAGGATCACAAGCGTGGATCAAGAGGATCAGTAGGCCGTGTGTTCACAGTTGCGATTCAGTTCTCATAATCACAATCAAGCAAGCTTTCCCCTGTTTGGGCCACCCATCGCACATGCGAACACACTCAAGCTGCGACTCAACTGATCCTGCACGGCACTACCGTCGCCACGACAACACTCAGAACTCAGAACCCTAGCCCCAAACTCTCAATTCCTGGATCCCCGGCTCGCCTTCGCCTCCTCTGGCGGGTCCCCACCATCGCCAGCGGCATCCTGCCGTCAAGCAACACACGACTATCCGAATAATTCATTGGATCACTCAACGACCGAACAAGTCCCAGCGACAGCCAGGGTGCAATCCCCGGCCTTCGACTCCCCATCATCAGCTGCATCCTGGCACGACTGTTCGGGCTGGGAGCCTCCTCATATCTCCTCATGCCCGAAGACGTATTTTTCAGGCTCCCACCTCAATCGCTGCTCCGTCACCACCTCCGACAGCCTGGGCCAAGCAAACCAACCCATAATATCCCATAATTCCACAAGCCACAACGCCCCACAACCACTGGCCTGGAAGGAAGATGCTCTCCTCGATGCTTCAGCCTGCGAGCAGTGGTGCATTATCAAGTCACTCCGACCAGAATTCGTAAGGCTCCCACCTCAACGGATGCTCGGTCAGCACCTGTCACAGCCTGGGCCAAGCAGCCGAACTTCTAATTCCACACCCCCCCCCCCCCAACACTCGCCTCGGATGCAGCTGCCCTCCTTGATGCTTCAGCCTCCGAGCAGTAGCGCAGTATCAAGTGCGATGTTTGACGAACCCAGGAGGCGGGCCGCCAGCCATTCTTTCTCTGTCGGCGGAACCTGCCCATCAGGACCCCTCGACTTCATGATGTTACTGATGTTTCGTGTCTGATGCAAGGACCGTGGATGGTGCCTCATGCCCGTGCTTCTTCGCCCACAGCGCAGCTTGCTTCTGGGACCGGAAGCTCTCCATGCCGAGCTCCCATTTATCTCGGCTGATGTTTTCGAGGGTTCTTCGGGGACTTGAACAAGGGGAGGGGTCAAGAAACGGGACAGATCAGCTGAAGCCAAGCCACAAATGGGTTTGCCGACATCAGGCCCGCTCATGCGGGTCGACACGTGTCGGAGGATCCATCGCTCGGACATGAGGAAGCCAGCGACCGCAACCCCGATAGGAAAATGAAGTGAGACCCAGCCACAACCCCGAAGCAGCCCACAACAGGACAGGAATGTGCAAAGTCGACTCGGCTCAAGCTTCGCACCGCTGACTATCACAAGCCCCTCCCTTGAGCTGGGGTTTCCTGATGTTTCCTGAGATGGCAGGTAGGGGACAGTGGGAATATTATCAGTCCATTCATGCACATCTGCGACTCATGGCAAAATGCCTGTGGCATGTGCGGACACCAACACTTGACACTTGCGCAATGCCCATCTCTCTCGCTCTCTCTGACTTTCTGTCGTTGAAGGATCACAGGATTTATAGTAGACGGGGATCTTTCTGCGTCTGTGCGTGCGTGTGGAAGTGTGCATGAGTCATGAGGTTTATCCCCCACCCCGGAAAATGGAAGCAACCAGTGTCCGACATAGTGTTTTCCATTTTCATGGCCCCCAAGCATGGACTGCCCTCGACCACAACAAGAAATGGAAGATGATTAATGGAAGATACATGTACATCCCCCCATGATTCCATTTAATAGCGGTAGGGGATCCACGAACACAAACGGACAGCGTCATCTTGCCCAAAGGCGCGCAGCGAGGCTTCGCTGATCAGTGTCGAGCGAGGCCAAAAAGCGAGGAAGCCGACAAGGCCCAGTCATCGTACGCATGTTATCTGGAAGCCCAGAAGCGAAGAAGCGAAGAAGCCCAGAAGCCAAGAACTCGAGAAGCCAAGCTGCTCAAAGCCAAGTAGCCAAGAACCCGAGAAGCCAAGAAGCTAAGAAGCCGGCAAGGAAGCCTAGAAGCCAAGCAGCCAAGCAGCCAAGAAGCCAAGCCGCCCGGAAGCCAAGAAGCCAGGAGGAACCCAAGAAGCCAAGAAGCCAGAAAGCCAACGGAGCCCAGAAGCCAAAAAAGCCGCGGAGCCAGGCAGCACAGAAGCCAGGAGCCCAGAAGCCGAAGGCTGCCAAGCGAGGAAATAGGCACATTACCTCGTAAACGTTAAATTTGTTTTTGATTCTTTCTAATTTTTTGTTGATCCTTCCTAATTTTTTGTTGATCCTTTTTAAATTTTTTTGACCCCCCTTCACCCCGAGTCCCGTAGACTCGCTGGACTTCTCTAAGCGGCGCAGAAACAAGAAGCACACGATGTTGCTTCCAAAGGAAAAGCTGCTTTTTTTCGGAGACATGGAACGGGCTTCAGCTACCTTCTTCTGCTGGTGCTTCGCATTGCCCTCTCTGAGCGCCGAGATGAAGGTGCCGAGCACCATCCTTACCAAACACCAGAAGCCCTTCGCATCGAGGGGTAGCTCTTCGTCCACAGAACTTGTTGCCCAGGCGCGGCCACAGCCAGCAGAGGCAAAGAGCTGCATAGGCCAAGATGATGCTTCCTGCAACCTGTTTGGAAGGCAAGGCAACCGTAGAAAAGGTCACTCAGCCTTTACACAGCATAGCTATTCAAAGGGCATGCTGAGCACTTTGCATTCCAACGTAGACTCTCCGCCAGGAGCAGTTTCCAGACGATGCCGGGGCCCCAGTAGATCAGTCTCCTCAGCTAACTCGCAGAACTGTCAACTTTCCAGTTATGTCTATAGCTTGCACGAGCATACTCGAGTATGACTGCCTTGCCGAGGCACAGCGGAATCCTCAGATGAGGGAGAAACATTCCGCGTTGGACGATTTGTCCGTAGCTCGGGCTTTGAACAGTCTGTGCTTAATTGTGAACGAGCAAAATCGAACCAGCCTATGTATGATTATGTGAACGAGCAAAATCGAACACTAGATTTCTGGATGTGGTGGTGATCCTGAGTTCTGACGATGGCAAACTTGTGATTGTTGGGAGGGCACCTCACTTCGAGCATACCAACCGGCATCTCCCACCAGGAGGTTCCCATGTCATCGAAGGCTCAAGTTGAGGATCAAAAGGGAACCGCCCATCCCTCGAAGGATCTCTTCCTGGGCGAGATGTTGCATCACTCAAGTCTACCACATGTCAATGTAGGAACGGCTTACTCTGATGGAGCCAAAGTGCAACGCTCAGGGGATGCGTCGGACCTGCAGATGTTCTTCTCCGAACAGGGTGCATCAACAAACAGAAGCCGCAAACTCTTCGATTCGGCCTGACTCAACCAGCGCTTGAAGAATAGGATCCTGAACCAGAACACAACGGAATCCTTTAGACCCTTGTTGCGCACGGCCCTCCCTTCCCCGGGCCCTGGGCGGGGATGAGACGGGAGGGTACTGCTAAGCAAAGCCATGCCTGTGGTCCGGGTCCGGAATAAGGACATACTGCGCAACACAAAGATACCGTGCATATACCTGTATTCCATGGGCTTAGCTTGTATCTTTTCATCCCCCAATCTGCAGCACATTGGAAGGACAGTGTGGATGATTGCATCATTGGAATTTGGAATGGAATGGTGTCCAGCGTTGCAAAGTCCTCAACAGGTGGCAGCTCCGTGTATCCGGAGGCCCCAACCACGACCTGGTCATCTTCGCCAGGTGCGAGCCAAGCGCTCCGTGTCAAATCGATGCGAGATCGAATCTTAACGGTTGGGTCCATGCAGGCAAGGGGCCGTAAGCATCACGGCCGTGCACCAACCCACCGTGCCTGAGCATCACCCTGCCGCTACGAGCCTGCCGTCCTCGCACACTTCGAGCAAGCAAAACTCAGCCAAGCAGCTCCATATCGCCAACCTGCGCAAGAGCTGAGGTCTCTGGGATTCATGATGCTCGCAGCATCTGTGTTTTTACTTTGCTTCTGAGGGGCATCCAGCCAAGCCGGGCAACTGTCTCAGAAATCACTTGCGCCACCAATGGATACTCCCTGGCACGGAAAATCTCTCTCTTGGGCTCTCAGAGGTCTCTGACTCGAATCTCCCGTCCTGATCGATGCGAAGATCCTGAGATGCCGCTTTTGGAACTCGCTCGACGTCTCGACTCGGACCCGAATCCCTGCCGAGCATCGAAAAAATGCGTCCCACTCGGAGAATCCGGAGCCTCACAGGTGACGAGATGTGGCAGCCAGCGAGCATCTGAGATATTGGCTCTGGAGCTGGAAAGTTGCAGCTGAGTCCAAGATTCACTCAAAAAAGTTTCTCGGAAACCCTTGCGGACAACACACGTCCTCCTGAAACTTCAACGATCAAAATGGCTTGCTGCGTCACACATGATCCCGTGCAGCTGCCGACAGGAACAGAACTTCTGCGCACAGATGGCCCGAGGCTTTGGCATGCGAATCGCCCTGCTGGACCTCAAAAGAGGCATTAGCCCAACAGTCCAAGTCCCTCTTTGCACTCTTGCGCCCAGGCAGCCGGGCCGCGTGCCGTGTGCTGGGCTGCTGGGCCCCGGGCCGGAAGATACCAAGGCTGTTGAAGTGCTCCAGGAGGAACTCGTCGGTAAAGGCAATGCTGGAAACCTCACGGAGCTCAAGGCTACAAGTAGCAGCAACAGCAACACCTTCGCCAGCAGCCGCAGCTGCAGCAACGCAACCCACAAATCGCTGCAGGTGTTGCTGGTTAGTACAGCTGCAGGTCTTGATGTTGCTACTCGCACTGTTCTTCTGGACTACACAACACTCAAACCCCCCTTCTGGAAGTAGCAAAGCATGCATGGGGCAAAGGTTCCTCTCGGACCTCTCTCAGTGCAGGCTGGCGGCGACCACGTCGGTGACAAGCCAGCCATCGAGGTAGAACCTCCGGAATCTCTGGCGCTGTCAAGTGGGGCGTCTTCGGCATGAACCCAACCCTTTAGCTTGCCACTGAAGGCCGAGGCAGACAAGCAGCGGTTGGACTGGACAGCCAATGACGCCTTTGAGGCAGGAGCTTAGGCTTAGCACTGTTTCACAGGCGGTAGCATCTGACTTGTTTTTTTCGTCCACTGCCCTATAGTCTACCCTCTTGCAAGCTTGGCTGCGGAGGACCACTTCCAAAACGTACAAGCCGATCAGGACTTTCATGACAGCCTCGCATTTCACATGTCAGATCCAATTTCATATCCCCTCCCTGAGGCATCCTAGGAAAAACAGAACCACCATCCCTGCTCAAGGCGACTTTCAAGCGTGATGCAATGGTCGATTTATGGCGAATGACTGCTGTGTTACATGCAACTGTGACACACGACAAAGGAGCTTGCAATGGCTACCACATGAATGGATTTGCCAGACGGCCGCTCTCTTTATCTGGCATCAGGTCGTCGGTCAAAATAGGCAGAATAAGAGTCAATCTGAATCTAACCGGGTCTGGACGGGCTACGATCGGTTGCATGCGTACGGCGCTACCCAAACAGGTTATGCTTTTGCGCAGCCGGCTGCCAGCAAGATCACCTACATACTTTCTTCCAAAGCCGTGCGGCATCGATTGCATCGTTGACGGCTTGAAGCGTCACATCCTGACGGGTGGCATCGTCAGGAAGCCTAACAAATCTGCCCGAAGGACAAACTCAAGCAAATTCCATCTCCAAACTGCGAGGGCATGCCGCCGGGCCGTCATCATGCATTCTGCTGAGCTACTGCTGAACCGCATTCAATGCCTCTGGATCTCGCAGGGTGCCCGCGGCCCTTGCATCAGCGTGGGCGTCGGACGGATTAGGCAGGTTTTTATGTAGGGATCGGTCTTCAAGCTGCACACGAAAGTGGCTCGAAGCTACATCGGGCTTGCAGATGAGGAGCACGTTTGCATGGACGAGTACCTCGGACGGCTGCCACAGGAGCCAACATGGAGGTGCATGCCTGGTGCAGGAATTCTTCGGAGCCTCATCACCACTCAGCAGCCAAAAAAACACCCTCAAGGTCACAGGAAGCACTGTCGCTACTATGCAGCCCTGCTGAAACTCGCCTTAACCAACTAGCCTCATCTTGCGACTTCTCTTGCCAATGGTGCTGCGTGTCAAGCTGCTACTACTGACAAACATTACAACACAACCACAACAACCACCACCACTCCAATTCTACTCCTATTTCCACCACGGGCAACACGAACGCTGCCAATGCAGGCTTTTTCGCTGATGATCATGTCCGACATGGTGGTAATGCTACTACTACTACTACTACTACTACTACTACGACTAGGACCACGACTGCGACTACGACTACTGCCAAAGCGTCTGCCACTCCACTGCCACTCCTGGTAGTAGTACTGCGATATAGCTTGATGTGCCGACGAGAGCGATGCTATATGGTCGATCCTTTTACATCATCTGGAAGCACACTGATGATTCCGAACCTCCATCACACTGGGTCCAAAATGCCAGAAGCAGCGTGAAAAGAGCTGCCATATGGCAGAGCACCTAGCCACCATTTGCAGGAGGCAGTGCAGCGGTACGTAACTGGATCGTAGGGATAGAAGCACAGATTGGACGCAGTCGATTCGCGTTTTGACTAAGGTCAGCTCAACGAATGACGTGATGCAGCAATCAGCTCATTTTGTGGCTTCGGCTTGAGGATGTTGGGTTGGGTGCTACTTCCCGTCCCTCCAGAAAGCAATACCGGGCACTTTTGTCTGCACCAACCCAGCCTGCATGCCGTCGTTGTGCATCAGGCGGAAGCCTAGACAAAGACAAAGAGGAGTGGGGAACGAGAAAGTCCCTGTCTCGTACAAAAAGGGGGGGGACCTATCCGTGTCTCAGCAATCCTAACAAATAAATCAGACACCACGCTTGAATACCGCAAGCAACCGAGGATGATGGTCCTCAATCTGAACATGAGCAGAGCGAGAATGACGATGATAGTCATGATGCTGATGCTGATGGTGATAAAAAAGAGGAGGTGGAGGAGGAGGAGGAGGAGGAATATGACGACAACGGGAGCAACAAGCACGGGAACAGTATGAGGAAATTGGCAATAGTCAGAATGTTGAGAATCGAGGATGAGGGTTCTGGCAGGAGCACGTTGAGGATGATCGTGAGGATGAGCGTGAAGATGACAAGGATGATGAGGATGACGAGAATTAGGACGAAGCAATGGAGGATTGAGAGCACCCGGACCACTCATCAACACCACCGAGTTGTCATCCTCATCATCCTCGGCAGCATAATCAGTAGCAACGGCTGCAGCGGCAGCAGCACCACCACCACAAGCAGCACCAACACCCAACCCACACGCACCACCACACCCACCAACAACGCACCCACCGCCAACACCCCCACCACCACCACCACCACCACCACCACCACCACCACCACCACCACCACCACCACCACCACCACCACCACCACCACCACTGCGACTACCACAACTATGTCAATACGCCAATGATGATGTTTGTCTAAATCGCGATGCAGCTGTTTGCAGATCAAGCGGCATATGCCCCGGATTCCTCGGTCTACCTGCAGGACGCACTAGTGATCAACTCCGGAAGCTTGCACGAGAGGCAACCCCAACACAGCATCTGTGTCCTTGTAGTGTACTGATTCGAACCATCGCGGGAGTTGATGTTTGGAAATCATACAATCAGACCAACGGTGCGAATACGGTAAGCTTTACGACGCTATCAGTTTTCATGGTCGTTCCGATGATCTTCTCTCTGGCAGTGTTCAGTCCTGTACGGCTCTAAACACTAAACTTGGAACTAGGACCTCAGGCCCCACCCCCAAATCATTGATCCTAAGCAGTCGCCGTCTTCTTGCTACAGGCCGTCTGTGCCCTAAACTAGCATCATGATTGAGCACCGGCAATTAGTTTGAGGTCGAGTGTGATGGCATGGGCGTCTTATTCGTTCGAATCGTAATCCAGAACCCTACCTCCGCTGAAACGTATAATATAGGGGCCTTATTGGGGCCCAGAATATTATAATGATAATGATGAACCCCCAAAATAGTAGTGTTAATTGTTTAGGCCCTTATATCAACCTCAGTGACTGGTGACGGCATCATCGGCATGCACGTAAGAACGAGAACACACGAGCGCTAGCAACACCTCAATGATCGCGGCATATTCCCGCACTGTCGGATGGCATCCTGAGCAGGCCAAGCCGACCTGGCAACTACCTTGAACAGTGAGCCAGCCGGGCAATGCAACTAACTACAGCAGCATGGAATGTTCATGGATGACACTTGCACAACTGAACCAGCTACCACACGGCTTGCACGAGAAACGTGATTCAAGTGGCTGAGATGAGCACGCGGCTTGTTCGACGATGTTGATATTGGTAGATATGCGAGGACAAGCTCGATTGGTCTCACAAGTATGAGTCATGATATGGCTTCGGGACTGGGCATCTTGCTGAGCTACTAGCTACTAGCTTCCAAGTGCAATGACGTCACGGGTACTGGCCTGCAGCATTCTTCCGTTGTCGAGCACCCGCTGAACTCAGATGCAGTGACAGTTCGCAGGAATCGACTCTAGGAATATGGTGAGCCTGCCGGGTATCTGCAAAGCGACACCCTCGACTGCATGATCTCCAGGATGTAAAATGCACCAATTTTTGCTCTTACTGTGGACTAACATCAAACGCTGCGGCAGCCGCATGTGCGGCGTCGGTAGCTCTGGACACTGCAGACATTCGCTTTTGATGCTGCTGAGGTGCTTCTGCGAACTTCGATCCTGCCACTTCCATTTCGGGGCTCAACACGGGGCAGGCTGATTGCGCTTGCCGTGAGGCCACAACACCGCTGCTGCAAACCCTGCCGACAGCCCCTACTCTACTCATTTGGCGCACCCTCAGAATCCCGAGAGACTCGCACTGTTTGGGTGCTTCGTCTTGCAGACATCGGCAAACCTATGTCACACCGCACTCCTCAAAAGCCTGCCTTGTTATCGTGCAAACATTAGATTGCACTATTCAGTATCCATGGGATCTGTGGCAGCCAGGAACAGTGGTGCGGAGGAAGCAGATATCCCGGGTCCTTTCAGTCTGCAGCTTCTCCTCATTCAGGAAAGCAGTCATCTCCTTAGCTCAGGTTTGTGGGCTTGCACCGCAAGGTCCTGGACCCGACGAATACACTCATGATCTTTGGGCCAGCTTCTGCATGATCACCTTCCCTGCTACGGCCTTGCAGATAGAGGGATGATGCGGTGGTCGAGGTCCTTGGAATCCCGCCATGCTTTTCAGCCGCAAAACCTGCATGTTCTCCACCGCCCCGACCGAACCTTTGAGCACCGGGCCGCTCAGAGGCGTGGCTAGCTTTCCGCGACCAGCGAGACGCGTGAGAGTGCAGGGATCCTCAGAGGAGGCTCTGCCGGGCCCCCAGAGGCGGAGAAAAAAAAGCTTTCACACGCGAGATGCCAGGCCGCTGGAGCTGCTGGTGTGCCGAATACTGCTCTCCAAAACGAACTCCATGGACTCCATGACCCCTCTGACCGCGGAGCGAGGGCTCTGGCGACTTAATGAATAGGACGAGCACTACAGTACACCTCCCAGTATCGTATGTCACTGCTGGTGAAAGCTGATTTGCCCGAACGAGCGCAAGCTTGAGCAATGCTTCGACAGCGACTGTGCACTCTGGATTGACACTGTGCAATAACAGCGCAAGCAGGGTTCTGAGCCGTTCCCTCCACACCGACACCGCACCGGCTGGCGATGATACGGATAAGCTGTGCAACCAGAACCCTGGGCCACACACGGTATAGCTATGATATAGGAAGCCCACAGGATCAATCTACTTTGGATTAATCCCGCACACTCACACACGATTTCTACTCTCGTACGCCTCGGCATCCACCCCCAGAGCTCCCACCCTGAATAGCCAAACGTGACAGGGTGAACCTCGGCGACCTTAGGAAAAGGCGGCAAGCCTGAGTGCATGAACGAAGCCAGCATTCTTCGGCCCACATTGAACTTTCGGGTGTCTGCGATGAAACCCCGCTATGGCAAATCCGCCTTGTCTCTCGGCCAGCTTGTGCCCGGGAAGACGTCTGCCTACACTTGCCGCAATTTCTGACAAACTTGAAGTAAGAAGACCCATAAATCGAGTAGCTACTGCTACTACAACTTCCACTACTACCACCACAACTACCACTACCACCAAAAACTGCCACTATGACTATGATGAGCCGCTGTGATGACGACGATGATGACTTCCATAGTCGGCCAGCCATGAGCAACTACCACCCACCATCAGCACTACTGCCACTGCAACTACCAAGGTAGAGGTGGTTGCGGCGACTACCTATCACTTATTATGCCGAGCATCATGGTGCGCATGATCATGCTGCTGGTGATGATGACGACGATTATGACTGTGGTTCTATATCAGCCAGCCTTGAGCATCTCGCGGTATATCACCCAGGCCAGGCGCCCTGGGCATGAGAGTACGAGCCTCATAACGTGTCTCACAAGCCGAGAAACCCCATTCGGGTGACCACCTGGCCGGTTGGCACTGGAGCAACGACGGCTCGGCAAGCAACACCAAGCTCAGCCTTGTGCTGCAAGTCGTGCTCAGATTCTCAAAGAGGTGTGCACATAACCACGGACCGGACACACAGATCCACGCTTGGTGTCTCGCCTCAGCTGCGATGCAACAGCATCGCGAATGTCCCTCCACTGTCAATGGCCAAGCTCCCGACGTAGGGCGGCCTGGACCCTGCCATTCCGACGACGCCTTCCTACGAGTATGGAGTCATCTCCGGTCTAGACAGACACTTGCAAGAGTCTGTCCATCCTCGCGAGACAGACTCAGCCTAGAAAAATACTCATTGGAACGTTTGCCTGTCAATACCAGTACGGTTTGCATGTGTGTCCGGTGTGTTCTGCCAGCAGATCTTGAGCCGAGCTGAAGTTGACAAGTTACGGAGCCGTCATCGCGTCGCGTTGCCTTTTTATTGCCGATCTCTGCTTCGTTTCAGTGGCACTCGCGCTTGGCCTGCACGCTTCTCGATGGCCCCTTGTTAACACCTCGACGTACGGAGAACTCAAACATCCTGAAACCAGAATATCCCATCTCTACCTGAGCCGTGAAAAGGGGCCGAAGAACCGAAGCCAGATGATTCTGGTCAAACGGAATCTCTTCATCCAGATCTGCCATTCATCAGTGCAGCTCAAAGCCCAAGCGCGAAACCGAATTCTGCATATCCAAAATGCAAGGCCGATGCTCAAACTTTGCCAAAGTGGCATTTCATCCAGAGGTTTGGAAAAAGTTTGCCATCTTGCACGCCTTGATACAACAACTGTTTAGCTGACCGTACTTTTGCGGTCTCTTGCACTTGCCATGCTGTGTTAAGCGTTCCAGTGCAATCTGTTCCACAACATCTTGGCAGGAGAGGTCGAAGACACTCTCTACGACGTGTATCTTGGATGGCTGCGTGCCTGACCGAAAGGGGTTCGATGTTGCCAAATGCATGAGAATCTTGGACAGGCAGCCGTCCATGCCAGTCGTCAGAATGGAAGGAGGCACGCGTCAGGACCTAGACTGCATCGTTCCGATGTGCAGCTCGGGATAAAGTGAATCGCCAAACTTCTAGACGTCACCACCCCCATGCTTAGGCTTGCGACGTCTGGTCCTCATTCCGTGCCGAATTTTGTCTGTCCACGGAGTGAAGCGCAAACACTTTCGAGAATTGTACAACAGCACAAGCACCAAAAGGCACTCTGCTCCCCCAGATCTGTTTGGCTTGCACCACGTGTACTTCAGGAAGGAGCAGCTGAATAATTAGAATCGGGCTTCTGTTGCGAAAGTTTCTTGCGTGTCTCTATGATGAGGAAGCCTAAGGAAAGGGTGTGCCGAAGAAATCTGGTTTGTGTAAAACGAACGACTATCTGGCATTGAGAACGTGCCGGAAGTCGTGGAGTCACCAAGACTCTTCCCGGTTACTGGCAGGCGTAGACCACCACTTCCTCCAGGCCTTCGCATTCCAAGTCTTCTTTCTACGCGATTCGGCATGACAGGCATGTATTCAGCTCTGAAGTACTACGAATACGAAGTAGTGCGATGACTGTCTGACTGACTCGTTGCGATCGACCCGAAGGAACCATTCGAGGGAAGCTCAGGCAGCTGTAGACTGAGCCCGGCCCAACATGGCTCTTTGCCAGGCGAGCCCACGGGACCAAGCTAGGATGGTCTGATTCTGGGCTCCAACAACACAGCACGCTCATTAATACATGCATATGTTTTACACACACAAAATGCAAATATGCAAAAGAGACATACATGTGCTACTGTGATGTGAATTTATGCATATGTGGGTACACACGCATCTATATCTATATAAGTACGAAGGCATCTTAACATGTTGTGTGTGACTGTGTGCGTGCGTGTTTGTGTGTGTGTCTCTCTCTGTATACATGTACAGTGTACATATATGCGTAACACCTTCAATATCAGCTTTTTCTGCGCCTATCGGGTTCAGGGCCTTTGCTGACTCCCGTTGGGCATTGGGCCAGGCTTCGTGTATTTGCCTGTTGTCTGATGTGGGAGATTCTCGAACTCAGGGTCCTATCCTCTGAAGTTGGATCCCGTTGCTTCATCAAAGTGAGTGTAATAATGCATCCCTGAGTTTCTGACACTCCCTTTTGGGGGAACGTTTCCCCAAGAAAACGAAGCCGCGAGTCTAGCTTTCCGACGACGAAGTCCGGGCCGGCAGGGTCCGATAGGTCCTAATACGTCCTATCTTTCGGCTCTAACCCCAAAAATCCTCAACCCTAGTTCCCAACGCTGTTCAGCCTCTCGGAGATCTAAGGCCTTAAAAGGCCAGGCAAGACTCCACAGCCTGGAAGCGGCAAGGAAGCGTCGAACACCACCTTCTGGCAGTGTCCCCCAAAATAGTCGGCCAGGTCAGGCCGGAGAGCAGAATACTTTTCCAATGGGAAGAGCACAACAAGCACAAAGAAGCACTAAGAAGACAGAAGAGCATGACGAGATTCATGACAAAACAGAAGTCATCAGAAGAGCACTGGACAGAAGGATTGCCTGATAGACCTTTGCTCGTGGTTGCAAGCGGTGATGTGACACACCGAGACTTGCAACGGGCTAGAAGCTCGAACGGAAAGAGGCAAGAAGAGCAGGTGTGCTCTCCAACTGTGCGTGGTCTTAGCATTGCAAAATTTCTGTCTGGAGAAAGCAGCGATGTAGCGAGCTCAGGTTCCCTCCTGCCTACCCGGGCTCCTACTGTAGTCTTATACTCCCATCTTAGAGTTACATTAGAGCTGATAGTATATATATATACACACACATTCAGCATATGTGTCTCTCTGTATATGTATATATGAAATATGTTGTGTGTACTGCTTCGGTAGTCCTACAGGATGCAGCGGGTGCGAGCACAGGAGGTCGTTCAAAGGCCTGCACCAGCCACGATTTTCGACATCACACTTCAGGCTCACCCTGGAGTGCGATGCAGGTTGGCAGTTTAAAAGCCTCCTGACACAGAAGCATGCATGAAGCGTGGAGCACTTAACGGACTTAACGCAACGACGGAAACCGCCCCCAAAAGATCATGGGGCTGTAATGCAACACTCCCTGAGCAGAACTGCTCCTCCAGGCTTCAAGCTTTGGGAAAAGTCTCTCTGGGCCACACTGACAACTGTAGACAACTGCAGCCCGGCTAATCATTCCCGAAATGCAGACTCATAATTGCGGCGTTTCCTTCGCAATGAGTACTGCGCACTGGTTCACCCATGTGTCAAGAACGCGGAGTGCTGCCAGAAGTTGAACACGCTCTGCAGGGATTCCCTGAATGTTCATCTGCGGGATGTCCTGAGCAGATTCGTGCAAGGATATCACCAACACGGCATCTCTTGGCACAACACATGCGAGATAATCTCCTTCGACAGCGGCATGCTGCTCATTGAGGTAAGTCCGGGAACATGAACGTATCGAGGACTGTCTTCTTCCTCATCTTCTCCCGCGGAAGTGGAAGTTGTAGATTCCTTTTGCAGGATGCTGGACATGCTCCCACCACATCCGGTGTGTTCGGGATCCACCCCCCCCCCCCCTGCACTGGCTAATTGCAGGCGAGCTGCGCTTGACTCCGCCAAAGCATGTGCGTGCGTGCAACGGGATCCGTATCTGCACGGGCGTCCATTGGCAAAGAACCTACAAATCTTGGTGCCCGTCAGGTCGGGCTTGCCACGCAGCTGTGACTCGTCGTGAGCGAAGGTGCAACTGCTCCCACGGACACATTTGTTCATGAGGTGGAACTTGCACATGGTGGTGAACTTGAGCGATGGCAGACCTGAGGACATGTCGGACATGCTGAAATTCGATGGTATATCTGCGAAGTCATGGAAACGAACCCTACCGCACCACCTTGAGGCATCAGTGTCCTAGCGAGGAACTCCACACTCCAGAAAAGAAGTAGTAGCCGCCGACTCGGAAACCAGTAGCAATGGAAAGCAAATCAAGTCAAGCGGCCACCCTCGTGGCTCTCAAGTGCACGCTGAGCGCGTCGAGCACGGCGGTTGGACTGCACGTCCGTCATGCTGGATCCCTAAAATTAGAACAGATCCGCTGGTCGCCAGCCTGTGCTACATCAACGGCTGCAGCACAGCAATCCGGAATACTCCAAGAGTGCCACTCAGCCTCCTAGTGTCCTACTGCTTTCTACTGCTTTGCGGCACCACGACACCACTTTTTGCACAGGCAAACGGCCGTTCAGTTGCACTAAGAACTCCAGCCCAACGACACAGGCACATACCGCCGTCGGTCACGGAAGCTGGAAACGATAAGAGTACAAGAATGTACTGACAGCCAGCTAGGAACCGGCATCCCACATGTATAGTATAAGTACGCCAAGGCATCGTCGTAGTGCACGCCTGGTACAGCAGTGCACATGAAGAAACCACGGCCTGAGAAAAGGAAGATCATCAAGACAAAGATGTTCGGAAATTGGAACCGGATGGGTGAGCAGTCAGCCGCTTGACAAGCCAACTGCTCAATTGCTACCCGGATATCACTCACCTGGTAGGCAGGCAGAGAAGAAAGCCCCCAGCGCCGTAGCAACTTCAACCAACACGTTCCACGGCTAATTCTTGCCTGGACGTGCCCACAGGCCTGTCAAACTCCCTGATCTCGATGAGCCCCGACCTTCACACCCTACGATTCTTTTCTCAAGCTTTGCTGACAGGTGTCAAGCTGCGAAGCTACAGTGCTCTGTGAATGTCGCTCACCAGATCCGAGCGAGCTGCAAGGTCGTCAGATTTTGCACCAAAATTGGGATCATCGCCTCGGTTCTACAGCATGCAATCACGCGGCTTTAGGTCTCTCAAGAGACTAGCACCTCCAAGACCCGATTCATCTGAGATCCTGTCTCACCAACACGTGCACTCCATCAAGCAGGGGCGACGCTGCCTCACAACCGAGAGCAAGAGCAGCTAGTAAAGACACCAGATGTGCAGCGTCAAAACAATACATGAACTCAGTGTAATTGCTCTGCTGTTTTGGTGGGTCTCCGATAAGGATCCCATGAGGCGGGGACGGCTCCATCCAACCGTGACCTCAACATTCAGCATTGAGTGCTCCCATGGAATCACATGAGCATCTGTGATCCATCTGATCCTGCTTTGTAGTCTGGTTTCGCTGTTTCAAGCGTTGACCTTCCGGTTTCCAGAATTGCAAAGAGGTGGCGTCTAGTGACTCTAGTGCCTAGGTCCTAGGTAATTACTCACAGACCTACCTACCTGTCTGCCTGCCCACCTGCAGAACAAATACGTACGGAATTACATACTTGCATGCATACATTCATTCATGCATGCATGCATACATGCCATTGCTCAGATGTCCGCTCTCGCATCCTCTCTAACATAGACAGATAGGTAGAGATATATCGACAGGTAGTGAGACAGACAGACAAATAGATAGACAGATAGAGAGTTCTATGGAGAGACAGAGTGCCTACCCCCCCCCTTTCTTCTTAGTCTGCTTCTCTCCGAGAGTGTTCGTGTATGCATAATCCCATTGCTCTGCGACCGGATTGTTTCAAACAATTGCTTGACGCATTCACGGGGGTGTTCGACATGAGGAGCAGGATCCCAAAATCGTGCCACGCGAAGGCTGAGTCGATCTGAACAACCTTCAATTCATGATGCACTCGCAAGGAGAGCTTGCAGCTTGGAGTCGGGTCCATTCTGCTTTCTTCGGGGCATTTGGGAGGCTCTTGGAGCCCCAGTCCCCACAAGACTTTGTCCGGAATTTCGTGCCTTATGCGTCTTGGCAAGCCTCCCAGGAGAAACGCAAAAGTTTTGCTGACAGCAAGTATGAGTACCGTGGACTGCCTTGGGCCGAATCAAAGGCAAAACGAGAGAATCTCAAACCCGGCAGCAGAGGTATCGCTGAGGCTGCGACGCAGGGGCAGGCCAAAGCCTGAATGGCTTACCATTAGAGCCCGTAATGCTACATCCCTCTCGACAACCAGGATTGTTACCGCTGTTGCCGCTATGGTTGTCGTCCCTGCTGTTGATGATGCTGCTGCTGGTGCTGGTGGTCCTGCTGCCGCCTTTCCTGATTTTGCTGTTGTTGTCACGGTGGCGGTGCTGCTGCCGCTGTCGTTGTTGTTGTTGCTGCACCGGATTGGATTCCTGAGCGTTTGGCCTTCCCTCAAAAACAATTTCCACACGCTCAAGGTTCGGCCGTGAAACGCATCATAGCACAAGAAGAAGCAGCAGTTGGCTACTAGTTTTTAAGACCAGGTTAGTGGCTGTGGTCCGTGGCATCTGAGATAAATTCAACAAGAAACGACCGGGCACACGGCAGAAGCTGCCCAGAAGCATCACGGTGCAAGTCTCCGACCTCACGTTGGCCCGAATAATCTCCATAGCATGCCGTTTTGCTGGACACCTCCAACTCTAGCTCACCGGAACGTTAAGACATGAGAACCAGGACACCTTTCTGCCTGCTGGCCGGGGCTGGCCACAGGCATCGAAGAGACCAAGGAACGGGATTCATTAAGGAAGCGCACACTGCGCGAGTGACGTAGTCTGCATTCGGCTGGCTGCTTAGACTCAGCCTGAGCTTGCGGCCAGTGTCACCAGCTGTCCGACTCGCAAGGCCTCTTCCTGCAGGCGTCAAGGAACAGCTGCCGGAAGATGTCCGAGACACCGCGCTCGGGGTGCCTGAAAAACCAGAGGATCTTCCTCAGCATAGTCAGCGCCTGCAAGCGGTCTTCGTGCAGATTTAGACGGTCCGCAAAAGTCCGAGATTGTCAGGTGTGCTAGTTTGCCGGTGTTCAGAATGTTCCCTTTGAGAAGACCCTTCGTGTATGTGCAGAAACTCTCTGCAGCATGACAGGACAGAAAAATGCCATTCTGATGGCACACAACGCAAGCAGCCTGTCTGACAGATCAGGCCTGCCCCCTCTGCTTGAACAAACTCTCGCCACTTGGCCGGAACCTCGAACACTGCCGCTGAACGATGGCAAAGTGTTGGCTTGAGCTGCCCAGCTCGCTTTTGTGCGCATAGTTTGTGATTCGCCGGATCTTGGGGACCCGACGATGGCAAGGAAACGACTGCTTCAAACTTCGAGGCAACCCAGCGTGCCGCTTCACCAGCAATGGACGCACTCGACATTTGAGGGGAATCTGGATGTGGAGCGACACGATGGAGGGCATCGAGGCCCTGACAGCCCTCAGTGATCGCATCTCCTTCGCGCAAGAAGAGAAGCACCTGGAACGACGAACGACGTCTGCACGCGCTCGGGGCTGCTCCAGGCTTCTGCATTGTCCAACCCATTTGAGACCGAGCCCAGCGCATGCGCACTTCCTTCCCATGGACCGTGAGCTGAATATCCGGAGCCCCCTCCAACGTGGCGACAAAGTCCACCTGGCAAGCTGCATGTTTTGGATGTCTGCAGTGCAGGAGCAGCCTTCTGCCCACACACACTGCAGTCGCAGACCAAGAAATAGTCGATGCTGCTTGTATCGATCAACGTAGACGTCCCCCAAGACTGGACAAAGTGTGGCCGGCGGCGCACAACCAGAGCGTTCTGCGATGACTTTCGCCTTGGGAGCAGGCCACTGCGGCAAATCTCACATGCGAGCCCCTGACTTTAAAGTCTATCCGATACTGAAGGGAACAGGTATTCCTGCTGCAGGCCTCTTGTCCCGGTGCGTTCTGCTCCACCTTTGTCTTGTGGACCACGCAAACCTTCGAGTTGCTTCTAGCTCCGCATCGCATTGCTGCCTTTTGGTCATGTTTTGGGGGTGGCTGCAACCTGCCGGCATTCACAAGCATCAAAATGGCCTCTTCGCACATGGGCGCTGAAAGCGGCAGCTGCTCGTCAAGCGGCCCATAGATGCCTGAGACTGAACAGGAGGGACTTCCGCTGGTGGGTTGAATCGGTGCTTTCCGTCTGCTCCGATACTCAGAAGATCAACTTCGTTGGCACCCCCGAACAAATCTACCCAGACCAGCTCGCTATCACTGGACTACGGGCCACAAGTACTGTTGTCTTGAGTTACATAAGTAAACGACTTTGATTTTTTCCAGTGCCCAATCCCACCACGAGCCGAGATATACCTTAGTCGATCCTTTCTGCATGCAGTCGGTGCCACAAGCCCTTGAGTGTCCCGGCGTGCGCGGAATCGAAGAGGTTGCCCAACACTTTTCGGCTTGGACAAGGCACCTGAGCTTTGAAGTTTGCTGCCGATCTCCCAGAAGCCATTTGGGAGGTTCCGAATTTAGGGGTACCTTATCTTGGAGTCCTTCGAATACGGATCCTACTATTTGGGGTACTATATTAGGGTCCCCTATTTTCGGAAACTCTCATTTTGCGGTAACAGTGCTCTGAGCTCCTCGCAATCATAACTGCCTCGAAACGATGGCAAGAGCTGCTCGACCTTACCACGGAGACACGAGAGGACCCCTAGGTATATACCCTTAATATAGCTATTATATACCCATTATATAGCCCATTATAGGCTAAGGGTCCCCATTAAGGCTGCTCTAATTTGGCCCCACCCTGGGCTGTCGGACCTCCTCTGCTGACACCATACGGATGGCCTGCTCCACCGACTCTTCCTCCAGTGTGCTTTGCTGAGGGATTTTCTACACCGGTGGTGAGGATTAATGATGATGATGATGATGATGAGACTGATAATGATGATGAATATGAATATGCTGCAGATGATGATGACGACGATGAGGATGGCGATGATGACGGTAGCGGTGCTGTTGATTCTGCTAATGGTGATGTCAATGGTGGTGATGCTAATATGAACACGATCTTACCCCGCTTTTGGCGCTGTTGGCAGCTGTGCTGCCATGACGACAAGGAGCCTTACAGCCTTACAGCAATAAGGACAGGAACCAGTAACAGCGTCCACGCACCTGCAACTACTGCTGCTACTACGACAACCACCACTACTACTACTAGTACTGCTCCTTCTCCTGCTGCTGCTGCTTCTACTGCTGCTCCTGCTACTACGAGCTGCTACCGCTACCGCTACGGCGTTTGCGACTGCTACTGCTACTGCCACTGCTACTATTGTTCCTCCCTCCTACAACTCCTGCTACTGTGATCAGCCAGTAACAGGGGCGATTGTGATGATAGCGCTCATTGGTATCCCTGGCACCTGGCATCCTCACTTTTGTCATGATCATGGCTACTATTCGTGTAATTGTGACTTTCAGGGGCTGCCGTGCCTCTTCCTCCAGCTTGGGGGTGCTTACCTCAGCATTGGTCCACAGGGACACTTGAGCCAGGTCACCAGCTCAAGGCAGATCATCACAAGGCTCAAAGGGCACGATGCCCATGCTTGTAGTGATGGTGACAAGGATGATGACGATGCCAATGGGAATTCGAAGGAACTGTGTTGCAACTAGTGCTGCAATTGCGCCACTCAAGTTATCAAGACCTTTCAGCCACCTTACTCAAGCACCCAAGCCGACTCTTGGCCTCCTGCCGCCTCCTTCAGCTCCTCTGAAACTTGCTACATGTGCACATGGGCAGGAGTCGCTCAAGGACACAAGCACGTATGTGCCATGTGTGCACATGCTTCGTCTACACCTGAGCATGGCTCCTTCGAGGGTGTCGGTGAAACAGCTACGTGCCGCCGGATCAGGCCTAAGATGCCAACGATAGCCAGGCAGGCAGGCATGTCAAACTTTCGAATATCGAATCGAGAAGGGCCGGTCGTCAACAAGCAAAGCCGAATCCTGGGCCTCGCACGAGCACATGTAGCACCGCCCTGCTCGCGGAAACGCCGCTTTTCTATGCAAGACGCTGGGAGGAGTCTGACAGGTGCAGACATGCACATGTCAGCATATGCTCGTTAGTTGTGCAAATCTGATATATGCATGTGCATGTACAGACCGAGAACCTAATAGACAGCTGGATAGATGGCTATTTAGCTGGATAGCGGGATAGATGCATAAAAAGGCAAACAGATAGCAGATAAATAGATAAATGATAGACAGATAGATAGATAGATAGATACGTACGTGCAGACATGTATGCATAGACACATTCATACATTCGTCGATAGATACATACATAGATTGATGCACAAGCGGATGGGTGCATACATAGATAGGAAGACGAATACATACGTACATACATATATACATACTTAGACATCCATCCATCCATCCATACATACATCCATCCATCCATGCATCCACCGATCCATTTATACATACATGCATACATACAAACATGCATTGCATCACATACACACATGCACACATGCACATTCAGCTGCGTGCTTATATACACATTTGACTTATTTGAACTTTAAAGTATTGACACAGTGGCGATCACGTGCCTGAACAACCACAGCCAGGGCGAGTAGAAACTTCAGCACGAGGAGGAGGATTCGCAACCTCAACTGCAACAGCACCTCCTACCAGGCCCTGCACCAACATGCACCTCGCTCCGCTGAAGCACATGCAAAGGACACGGATTAAAAGTCAAAGCCAAATAGGCAGCCGACTCGTGCAAGCTCATAGGAAGCTTGTCGTCTGCAAGGGAGTACATGCTGCAAGACACGCGCATCATCAACAGCAGCAGTTGCGTCGCACAATCAAGCTCAGAGAGAGAGAGAGAGAGAGACAGACAGAGAGAGAGAGAGAGAGAGAGCGAGAGAGAGAGAGCGAGAGCGAGAGAGAGCGAGAGAGCGAGAGAGCGAGAGAGCGAGAGAGCGAGAGAGCGAGACCGAGACTGAGACCGAGCCTGAGACCGAGACTGAGACCGAGAGAGACCAGGCAGTGCTAAGCAACTCGACTCTCGCCCAGCCTGCCGTTTGCTTACTCACGGCGTTTGCCTTCAGAATGAAACCCGTACCTCAGTTTTTTGGTCGGATCTGAGAAGTCAGGAGGTGAGACTTGACTTCGGGCGGCAGACCTCGGGATTCCAAATCCCTGTGGAGGACGAAGCCCTCTCCTGCCACGAGATTCTTAAACTCTACCAGGCTCAGCCTCTCAGTAAACTTGGCCTGCTCCCTCTGTCTGGACCTCAGCAAAAACTGACAGGTGAAGGCTGACAGCGTGATAATGTCCATATGTTTTCGGGGAAAGTCTATAGTCTATAGCATGTCTAGGTTTTGTTCACAACGTGCAGCCATGCTGAACGCACAGGACGTGACCGCCATACGTCACTTCCGATCGGCATGGGACCATCACATGATGCAGCTGGTCTACAAGATTCGCCAAGCTTTGAGTTGACATTGGGCGCTGCGCCTCTTCCACCCACTCATCAACCTGCACCGAAGGGCTGTGCAGCGTACTGTTCCAAGCCCTTCCCTTCGGCCCTGAGGCCTGAAGGAAGGAGAGGGGAAGGCCGGACGTGTCTGCGGCCTTTGGGGCGGAAGCTTAACGGAGCGCTTTTTCAAAGTGAGAATCGTAGGAAATCCGAAGCCGCATCCGAGCACCAAGTCTGCATGGCTGGGTCTTCCGCTTCTGCATCTGCATGGGGAGGTTTTCCTGCACGAAGCGTGGCAAAGGCAAAGCGACCACGATGGCAAGTGAGGCAAATATCTTCCAGCTTCACGAAGGATCACCGACTTTCGGCCGAAGGGGCCTTGCAAAATGCTGCTCAGCACATTGCTGTCCGTGCGAAGCCTGCAAGGCATCATGGCCGGGGCTACGGGCAAAATGTGTGTGTGTGTGTGTCATGCCAATGTGAATTTTGCATCTGAGGTGTCTGCCCAGTTTGAAGAAAGGACATGTCACACCTGATGCGAGCAAAGCATTACCATCCACAAAGCATCGGCAGCTATGTGCCGCGTCTCGGATGATGAAGGCTGCAGGGCATTCCAGTGCTTTGTGAAGTGACCATCAAGTCCCCGCAGCGACAAGGTCTCATAATCTTCTGATCCATGGCACCGGACCCCACACACACATGCAATCGAAACCGCTTGCTCCAAAACTACAAGGCTGTACAAGGTTCTCGGAACCGCACAGTGCTTCGACCTGAGTCCACACTCAGACTCTTTGCCATGTCCAGTCACGACTCGACCCGTGGGCCCTTCGATGAGGGCTTCACACCACCATCTTCATTCTCAGAGACTTCTGCCTAAACAGACAGTGACCCACGAGATGCACGGCCCAAAGCTCTGCGAATCCTTAGAGCCGGGCAGTGCTCCAGAAGTCCAAGGAAGCCCCAGGCCTGAGTCTTGCAGTTTCGGCCGAAGCCGCTTGGGGAGGCCGCGTGACTTGGGTCGCAACTGCGAGACCGATGAGGCCTGGGCCTCAGCATAGACTCAGTGGAAATCACTGAAAACGACTGACAGGACACAAAACCTTGGGCGCTTTGCAAGTGACGTCAGAAGCAGGGACAAGGAGGCCTCGTCTCATGGCCGAGAGGGTTGAACTCTGATGTAGTGCTCTCACTCTCGCCCGAGTGACGTGCCTTGCACAAGGGCTTACCAAAGTACATCGTGGGTTTCCTTGGCAAGTCAGGTGACTTGAGACCCTGCTCTATTCCAGACAGGCTCCAAAGTCGAAGCACCAAGCACTGAACTCAAGCATGCATGGACGGCGATTTCGTCTCACAAGAGCACTGCGATTGAGCGCGCTGCCATTGAGGGTGGTTCGGTCATTGTAGACATGGACTTGAACCGATGGTAGCGGTGAAAATTGACATGCCGAACTGGTTTTTTCCAGGAGTATGCAGCATGGTTTGCATTAGACTTTAGACATCATTAGACTCTGTTGCACACGACATCAGAGAGTCAATAAGTTGTAGCTGGCCTTGATCTAGTTCTGCCTTGCATCTGGCAAGGGATGCTATTTAGCACGAGGCTTCAAATGTCCATGCCCACGCTTTTGGCGAGCTCGATGAAACAAGATTCCAAACGGGAGAGTGCTGTGTACAAAGATGTGAGATGGTCGCGCCTAGTAAAACTCAAGGCGCTTCTGGCTTAAGTCTTGGTCAAGAGCTCCATAGCCTGGAGCTCACGGGAAGCCTCTAGGCAAAGGCAGAGGCTTCACCGGTCCTGAGTGGGAAGAAAAGCAAGGCCCAGGCAAGATTGTGGTCTCGGCACGAGGTAGACGAACCCAACAAGAACGAACGGCAGAAAGCCGCCACAAAGGAACTCGAGCCCCACCCTGCTTCACTGAGCCACCCCCACGCAAGCAGCAAGTTTGCGAGAGAGCAAAGCCACAGCACATTGACATGATTCGTGCTGTGCTGCACGACTTGGGCAGAGGCATACCAGCATCTCGCAGCAACGCGATGGAGGCGTCCCGATTCAACCTGTCGCCACACAGTGTGCCAGAGGAATACCTGCGTACAGGTTTCGTCATGCATGATGGTGCTGCCTGCCGCGACAAAAGATACAAAAGCGATCAAACCAAGCAAAAGCACACGCAGGAGGCGTAGCAGCAGCAGTGGCTGTAATTAGCAGCAGCAGCAGCAGCAGCAGCAGCAGCAGCAGCAGCAGCAGGAGAAGATGTCGTAGTCGTATGTTACATCAACATTATTCTAGCTAATTTCACTATTACGAGCGTGACCATCCTCCACGCTTCGCGTAGGATCGCAAGCACTGTCACCCTGCCCCTCAAGCAGTGCCTTAGCCTCCTCAGGGCCCGGCCGGGTGGCCCATTTCAGAGCAGTGAAGCCTCAAGTTGAGACTGGGCAGAAAACTCAATGACTCTGTATAGGGGCTTTGAGTGCTAGGCCTCTAGGCATCTTTGGTTCTGGTGTGATTGTTGGCTTTCTGGAAGAGACCGGGCTGAGACAGCATGCGCTTCATTTCAGAAATGCGGCGCGTGTATCTTCCCACCAACGGAACACCTTTCAAGAACAACGAATCTGTCTTCCCAGGATTTAAGCTTTCCGCCATCATCGGTGACGGCTGCAGCATCTGCTCGTGCCTGGACAAGCGAAACGGAAGCTGGTGCGCCATGATGCTCGAGCTACAGTACTTGCCTCCAGGAGAAGCGAGACGATGCCGCTGAAGTCACCTCTGCCGTCATCGGAGTGACTGCGAGGCTCCGAGGCCTCATCTCATGGCCACCTCCCACCACGCAGCCCATCAGGGGCGTCATGTTGTTCTGGTCTCTTGCATTCACGTCAGCCTTGGAATCGGACCGAATACACAGTTCGCATCTCACGGCTTGATTCAGTCTGGGATCTGAAGACGTTTCGCTTCTTTGGATTCCACTACCATCTTCGTTAAACCAAGTGCTCCGTTGAAACGCAAATGAATGTAGACCCACCAAGAAAAAGCTTGGGCCTGGACCTGCTTCGCAAGCAGGAGCCGGCAAACACTTTCGGCTCCCTCTTCTGCGGAGGCACCTTCGAGAATTTCAGGAAGTTAAGTCTTGTCTGCGGGCTCCGTAGGAGGTTTGTGCACGAAGTGAAGCCGAGCGGTGCGCTTCGATGTGCCCTCCCTGCGAAACTTTGAGGCGGGCGCGCAGCAAGCTGTAGTTCCAGTCAGCAGTCCGCCTTTGCTAAGACGTGATGGACAGATGGTTTCGTAGTTTCACGAATCTGTGAAGGCAATCCGTCTGGCCGCCCTATTCTTTAATCAATGTTCTTGAGGGTTGCAGGCTGTGAGGGACGGTTCCGAACACTGGCTGTGGTTGCAGGTGCAATTACTCATTCTCGATCTTGCTCCAGGTCCTTGTTTAGAGGTTCTTCAAGTGAGTCCTGGATGGCCTGGACGCCTAGAGGATGCGCCAAGCCCCCAGCGCATTCACATCACACTCCTCTGGCCTTGACCGAGGTCATGATGAGGGCTACCAGATCGGCCACAAGCTAGGCTGGAAAACTGCAGTTTCAAAGGAGGCTCCAATGTAACACGCAGCTTCCCGTGGTCCTCTCGTTCAGGAGCTGCTCTGCTTCGGCCCAATTTTCTGCCTGGCCGTGTGTCGGCACGGACAAAACCCGAAAGAGTGGCGAAAAGATCGAGTCATGCCTCCACGGCTTTGACCAGAGCGCTGGAGGATGCGGCGGCTCCTGTGTGTGCAAGGACTTCAGATTTCGGCAGCCTTTCTCGCTCCTGTTCTCCACGAACTCAAAGCCTCCTCCACCTGCCACCGGCTCTGGGCTGATGGCGGGCTCCGGTGCCACCTGCGATCTGTCACTTGTAAAACTGAAGATGCTAATCAATCATCTCTGTAGACTCCAGGGAATCCAGAACAGTGCCGTCGAAAATGAAGCTGGCCTGTACCACCTCTTGTGGTTCCGGGGCAGGCGAAATGGTGTTCGCCTGAACTCCGGTATCCTGGCATCTGTGTCTCTCGCGGAACCTCCCACAATGGGGGACTAGAAGACGTGCAGTCCCTGCAGGATGCAGTGCTAGTACTAGTAGAAGTCGTCGTCGTCGTAGCAGTTTGTTATAGCAGCAACAGCAGCAGTCGTCGTCGTGATGGTTCCTCGTCGCGGTGCTTGCCGCGCTCCTCTTGACTAACAGCACAGACCTTAGTCCCGCACGGGTTCATGCTAATGCTGATTGCTTCTTCCAATGCTGCAGCAAAAGCGGCAAAGAGTACCTATTACTAGTTCCATCCCCCAATGCACCGGCGCAGTGAACCTCCTCCACTTCGGCCGCGGCAGGCTTGTCGGCGACCGGAGGCGCATCGGACTCCAAGGCGAATATCATGCTTTGGCTGGCGTCAGATGCAATGCGACATGTCGATTCCGATGCTTCTCGGGCCTGTTGACGTATCCCAGATTCTGCCTGACCGCTCTCATCGCGAGCCAACTCCTGCAGAAGGGCTGGCATGCAGGCCTCTCAGCTGTTCATGACTACACAGCTGTCCGTCGTGCCGAGGCAGCCAACTTTTCACAAGAAATGCAAAGCAAGGCGAACTAGACTGACTCGACCCGAGAGGTCCTGAGCAGCTGGTTTGGGCTCACGCCGCACAGACGCCCCCATTCCCATGGTGGCAGCGAAGGGCGAGACAGAAAAGATTCAGCAGGGCTAGTCTAGCGGTTGCCAGTGTGCCAGCCCCACGGATCTACCTTCGCCTGTCAGATGTACAGTAAGCTAAGGATAAAGCTTTGTGACTGGACGTCATCTTGATCCAGCGCGGTTCGAATGTTCGTGCAGTGCCGTAGCGCATCAATCCAAACCCAAGTGCCGGTGCTAAACCCCTCTTTTTCTTGGCAGGTGGGTCGTCCTGCACTTTAAACGAATTCAGACGCTCTGGCTCTCCGACACCGACAGGCCACGACTGAACCTAAGCTCCTGGTGCTCTGAAGGGTGTAGGATTTTGGATCAGGTTTGCGATTTTGGGGACTCCTGTGCAGGTGCGCTCGGAAATCCACGGCTGACTTAATGTGCAGTTGTACAGCTCAAGACGAGAGGGCTTGAAGACAAAGGCTCTCCCCAGAGTCACATGCAGTGGCACCTCCGATTGCTAGTTGTACTGAAACGGACAGGTACGGGGCTCAGATGCATACAGATACGTGTTCCATCCCATGTGCATGTGCTCAAGAGACACAGTGTTGGCATGCGGGGCATGGAACATCATCGACACTTCTGTTTGAAGCCCAAACACAGCGGTCAAGTTCAGGCTGTGAACCATCGACGGATAGGTACATTTGCAGATAGAAGGGCAGATATAGATAGATACGAAGAAAAACCAGATAGATGCACAAATAGATAGGTGGGTCGGTAGGTAGGTAAGTAGACAAACAGATAGAACAGCATAGCGAAGCATAGCCACATGGAAGCGGATGGACTAGGATATGCACAGAGGTTGACATATTATACATAGGAAGATGCATGCAGAGCTAGACAGATGGATGGATAGGTAGCTAAATAGATAGGTAAACAGAAAGATAGACGGGTAGCCAGCCAGCAGTCTCTCTAGCTATCTGTCTATCTAGCTTGCTGGATGGATGGATGGATAGATAGGGTAGATGGATGGATGAATGGATGGATAGATAGGCAGGCAGGTACGTTGTATTGCGAGTCCCAGCTATATTGGAACTGGCGATACGAGGTTTTTATGACTCACACTGCTTTGAATGCTTGCCGTTGCCATTCTCGATATTGACTAGTTGACATCCATGTGCGTCGGCTTCCTGCTGCCACAGCGAGCTGCTTTGTCTTCCAGCTCACATCCTCTTGAGCACATGAATGTATCACATAGCACGCGCCCACATCAGACGTTGCCGACAGCAACATCTGGAGTCTGGAGTCGCGTGGAGCAGCGCCCCCAAGCAGCGATCAGCAGGGCGAAATCCTTGAAGCGAAGGCGAGTGAGCAAATGGATCGTGTTTCAGCTTGAGAAGTGGGCAGACACAAAGCTCAACGGAATCGACGATGGTTCGGGACTGTTGCCCTGCTGAGAGCCCTGCAAAGGCCTTGACTGCCGCCGGACGGCGCCTGTACACTTGTCGATTCTCAGTCCTGCAAGGGTCGCATGCGCAAGCCACTTAAAGGCTTTGGGCTCTTAACCCGATACCCATCTGCGCCACGCAGCCTAAGCTGGCCTCATCCTCCAAGTAGACCTGGCCGGGTCGCTTAGCCACGAAGAACCTGAGTAGCCGCGGCTTGGCACCTAGCCCAACTGCAGCTAAACTGTTGGCTAAACTCAGCTAAACCATCGCGGCGCCCAAAAATTAAGCCCAACCAATCCCAAGCCATGTCGTCTTCCTGAGAGCCTGACGCAAGGCTGTCCGAGTCAAACCTCGGTAGAACTGCGCTCTGGGAGCAGCAGCGGCCCCAGCTATCAAGTCCTGCGAGCGGCCTTTTGACAACCTGACACTTCCACCACTACGGTCGAATGTCCCTGTCATGGAAGCAACAAGTCCAGTAAGGGTATTCTGCTGTCCTTGATCTTTCATGCCGATCCGGATCTACACATCCAGAACGGCTTCTACTGTTCTTGCCTTGATTATTGGTTTGAGGCACGCTGATGCCAGCAAGCCCGCATTTTGGGGCAGGTCTGAGCCCTGAGCCACTCAGTGCCAAATTCCCCGGTGACCTGCGTTCATCCAGAATCATATGAAGATAGGCCCGAATGCTTCAATACAAACCCCCCACCTCCCACAGATCTTTGTCCATGTCGTACTGGCCAAGGATTCCCGTCCTGAGCATCGCTCACGCTGCATATGTGTATTGTTACTGGGATAATGGCATGTGACATGTGGCTAGTCAGCATAATTGTTCCACCCCTACCACAACTGTCTGTGTCACTGTCGTCAGCATGTTCAGCTCACGGTTTTGACCATGATTCGTTGTTTTCACGCATCACTCTCAACTTCAACGACATCACAATAGCATCGTCACCATCATCACCATCATCGTCAGAACCACCGTCCACTATCACTATAAGTCGTGCTGTTGGCATTGGTACTACTGTATCAGTAGTACTACTTAGTCTGACGGATGATCGATGCGTGGTGCTTGTTTCGTTGACTTACGCTGCTAAGTACCATATGCTCCTTGACAAGGCTAAGCGTGTCAATTACAACGTCCTTGACGAAGAAAGTCAATTACAGTAGGCAATTCTTCAAGGTTGGATTCCTGCCCCTGAGCACCTGACTCGCCCCTGTTGTCATTGTTGGACAGAATTCGAACACGAGCGCCCCTGGCGGTCTGGCGGTCTGGAGTCTGGAGACAGGGATCTACAGCTCAGGTTTGAGCGCGTGGAACTGCGAACTTTTAGACACTCGTGATGCTTCGGACTCGGCAGCACGGCAGGTTGTTGAAGAGTCAGAGTCTCTTGCCGTCTTATGTGGACACGTCACTGCGCATCCATCTGGGGGGACGATGCAAGAGTGCATGACGATATGATCTTGGGCTGTGGAAAGTACGGATCCAATTGCTCGTTTACTCTCAGGCAAAGCAAAACCAATAAATCTGTCGCAAGCTCATTCCACTTCTGTCCATCAAAACGCTCGAAAGCCAGGCATGCTTCGTCAAAAGTATCGTCTGATACTTGAATGCTGACGGTCGGCAACAAGCAGCATGTACGGTCTTCCTGGAGCAAGACAGGCCTGACGAATCCTGGCTTCTTCCCCTTAGTTGATTGCAGGCGGTCTGTGTGCGTGTTGTGTCGCTTAGGCGTCGTCCAGACAGAAGCTGATTATCATGCAAACACACAGATATACACAAACACCAATGACTCTTGCTTGCTCTTGTTTCTTCCCCCTCGGAAGACTGGCTCTTGGCACCCAGACGGGCGATGGGCTGTCGGGCTCCAAGGCTCGCCGTGGCGGTGGAGACTTGGGCTCCGCCTGCTCAGCTCGGAATGCCCAGCCCGACCGCATCCACGACCCGGAAAGCTCTGCTATCCATGAGATTAGCCGTTTAGGGAATATGAGCTTACGGTTTGGAGTGTAGGGTCTGAGATAGGCCCCAAGACGAACAGTGGCAGTAGCCCTAAAGGATAACCCTTCGATTACTTACAAGATTGACCAAATTAGCGCTGATGGACTGATTGTATAGGCCCTATACTCTGACGATTACGATAGTCATGCGACCATGATCGCTAGTGTTCCTACAGGTATTGCCTGAATTTTCATCAAGGGATGAAAGGGCTTCAATAATTACGTGCAGGATGCCGATGCTACGCCGAACTGCGCCTTCCGCTTCCGCGATGCCTTTGCTTTGGCCCTTGAGGGCACCTGAGCGGATGCATAGGCAGGCAAGCTCTATGGAGTCTCTAACGAATTGGAAGCAATTCTTCAGCATTGATGGAGAATCTTTCATGCTTACCGTATGCGCTGGGAACTTGGCGGGCGGAGGCGCCATGGATGACGCCTGGCACAAGCCGTGCACACGTACTCTACATCAGAAGTCAGGGATTCTGTTCCCACCTTTCGCCGGCTGTGCCTTGATTCCTGCAGCAACCGAATATGCCGATAATATGCCATGTCAAGCGAATGTACATGCCAAATTAGAGCCTCGCGATGATTTGTCTTTCGCTTTGCCTGCCGACTTGTACAGAACGGCAGCCATTGCTGGTATTGATCAAACACGCCCCGCGCGGAAGTTACTCCTGAGGCCCCCCCAGAGCCTGAGCCGGAACCGGCTTTGTTTCAACTATCGGCTCTTCGATCCTTCTTTCCTCTGCTTGTCTTGCCCTCGCAGCAGCCTCCTGTGCGACCCGTCGCGCCTCCTCTTCTGAAGCTTGTCGCGCTGCCTCTTCGGCAGCCTTTCTTCGCGCCAGCTCTTCAGCTTGTCGCGCAGCGTCTTCCGCGGCCTTTCTTTGCTCTTCAGCTTGTCGTGCCGCTTCTTCAGCTTGCCGCGCCGCTTCTTCCGCAGCCTTCCTGCGCGCTGCCTCTTCAGCTTGTCGCGCTGCCTCTTCTGCAGCCTTCCTTCGCGCAGCCTCTTCCGCCGCGGCCTTCCTTCGCGCTGCCTCTTCTGCAGCCTTCCTTCGTGCTGCCTCTTCCGCCGCGGCCTTCCTTCGCGCTGCCTCTTCTGCAGCCTTCCTTCGTGCTGCCTCTTCCGCCGCGGCCTTCCTTCGCGCTGCTTCTTCCGCTGCCCTCCTCCTCGCTGCCTCTTCTGCTGCCTTTTTTCTCGCTGCCTCTTTTCTCGCTGTCTCTTCCGCTGCCCTCCTTCGCTCTGCCTCTTCAGCCTGTCGCGCAGCTTCTTCCGCAGCCTTCCTTTGCTGTGTCTCCTTGTCCGGCTCAATTATCTCCACCTCCTCCTCCTCTATTGAAACCACATCTTCCTCATCATCATCTTGCTGCGTCTCCTGCACCGCGTCCTGCTCCTCGTCGTGCTCTTCTTCCTGTTCCTCCTGTTCCTCCTCCTCCTCTTCCTCTTCCTCCTCTTCCTCCTCATCTACAAGCTCCACTTTGGGCCTAGGAAAGTTAGGAGAGCACTGACTGCAAGCTAGGGGTCTGGGAAATTAGTGACAAGAACAGCAGAGCTTCCGGCTGCTCTTTCGGTTTTGCCTGAGGCTCGAGGCGGGCAGAGTAGGGATGGGGAGGGCGGGGTGCTTCTCGAGTCGCTGCGACTTCCGTTAAACACAAGCCGACCTCGCCCCTTTTTTCGTCGCTCCGATAAGCACAAGACAGATTTGGCGAAAGCCGAAGACAGCTCGGAGTTGCTTTGGCAGCTGTGTGCTAGCAAGGTGTGCGGTGATTTACAAAGGCAACTCCAGCCGTCGACATCACCAGATTCAGGGTTCACGCACCCGAGGTGCTTGAGGCTTGAGGTGGTCGAGATTCGTTAAGCGGCAGGGCTGGCAGAAAAAGCCTTGGGCCTCAGCAACTCTCAACGGCAATCCTACCTCTACCACGGATTCTCCGTAGGCAGCACCTCGTTTCCCCTTTGTGATCGAGCACCCAAGCAGCACTCTCACACGACAAAGCGATCCTGGGAAGGGCCAGGGCAGGTCTCCAGTCCGGTAAGGTTCCTGTTGAAGCAAACGGTGCAGTCTTTGCCGGTCTTCTTGCCGCACTTGGCCTTGTACTTGGCATAAAGCTGCAGGGTCTTGTTGAAGAAGCTGACCTCGTCCATCTGAGAGCACGTCCCATGCTTCTCCCACTCGTGCTTCCAGAAATCTTCATTCTTCATGGAGAACTCAGGACAAGATGACCACTTCGCGTCAAGCTCACTTCGGAGCGGCGACAAGGCACTGATGTTGAACGCCGGTCCCGAACATTCGTTGTCCCACTCGGCCCACAATCCATGAATGGTCCAATTCGACGAGCCCTCACACTTCTGCATCATCAGCTCGTAGCACTCGCCGCCAGGGTAGAGGCACTTGGCGGAAGACGCCGGTTTCAACACAACGGAGAGCAGCAGGCTGTAGCACAAGCCCTTGAAAGCCATGGTTGGCTACGACGTTTGGATGCAGGCGGCCCCGGCAAAGGAAGAATTGAGCCGGGCTCTGCGCCAACGGCCGAAGGTGCTGCAGCACTGCATGCCCAGCAGGAATCCCCTCCCTTGATCCCGCCTTCTTCCATGGCAGCAGGCCGCATATCCTGGGCGGCGCAGAACAAAGTTTGCGCTCATAAGCCGTTGTTAAACGAACCCTATAAAACCAGAGCCCTTCAAGAGCAGTACTGGTTGCCCGTCGAGGCTCCTGACTTGCGATGCCAGCATCACCTCGTTGGCCAACCTGTGGGCAGATCTTCGCATCAAGAGACACGATACTGAGCATCTGAAAAGCCCCGATTTCCATGGCCTGACGTTGCTGTCGTCCAAGAGGCCGTAGAACCAAAGCTTCCACTGAATGGTTCTCCACTCGTAGTCCTGCGAATCCGCGACCCTCGTACAGCTGGCAAACAGCACAAATACACGATGGGATAAGGAGCCGAAAAGCACGCGATCCGGCCCCAAAGTTTCAGCCTCGCTGTGCAGGCCGTGCTTGGGCAGAACTGCCTCCTGCACGGATTTGACCTGGAGGTCTCTGCTAACAGGTCTCACATCACAGGCTGGCTGAGCTCTGAGTCCCCCTGCCAACGCCGCCAAACCTCCAAAAATCAGAGTGGAGCAGTGCAACAATCGTAAGGAACTCGTTCCCTGCCTTTTCGGTCTGTCTGCTGCCTCACCTCCTGCTGGTAATCCCGCCTTAGCCAGAGGGCAAGCCGGCCACGGCACCGGTCAGATGCGCAGCGCTCTCTGGGAGCATCGAGTTGCCGGCGTAGTAAAAGCTGCCACGAGTGCAGCAAGTAAACCTCAAGGGCAAACAAGCTGACGGAAAGTACAACCTTGCACCGCATCTGCAGCTAACCTGGCCCTTGAGCAATCCAAAGACTTAGATTCTGCAAAGGGGCCGTTGCACCATCGGATCTCTCGCTTGACGAGGTCAGAGTGCCTCTTGGGTCGCAGAACGGAGCAGTCTTCCGGGCTTCCGGGACCTCTGTTAAGTATTATGATCATGATTATTATTACTACTATTACTATTATTACTATTGTTACGATTATTACGATTATTACTATTATTACGATTATTACGATAATTCCGATTATTACTATTATTACTATTATTACGACTATTACGATGATTACTATTATTACGATTATTGAGATTATTACTATTACTACTGTTATTACAATTATTACAATTATTACTATTTTTACAATTATTACTATTATTACTATTATTACTGTTATTACTATTATTACTACTACTATTATTATCACTATTGCTACTATGATTGCTATTATTACTATTGCTATTACTATTGTTATTGTTATTATTGTTATTGCTGTTATTATTATTATTATTAGTCTTATTATTATTGTTATTAGTAGTAGTAGTAGTAGTAGTAGTAGTAGTAGTAGTAGTAGTAGTAGTAGTAGTAGTAGTGGTAGCAGAACTATTACTACTATTGTTACTATCCATATAAGTGGTATTCGTGCTGTTACGACTTATTACGATCATATATAATATTATGTGTATATATATGTGTATGAACCACTAATTATATTGTGTCACATTATAGTATAGGATATGAGAAATCTATCTGAAAGTGGGCTCCCCCAGGCGGCCCCCGAGCCCGGCGCAGACCGTTCTTGAACTTCACGTGGCTCAGGCTAAAGCTGGCCAGGGTCTGCCATGGCGCAATTTTCAAAGCAGAAACTCTAAACCCTGAGTCTAAACCCTAAGCCCTAAACTCTAAACCCTAGACCCTAAACCCTAAACTCAAGCCCAGTTTGGCGACTTTGGGGGGCCTCTTTGATGCCCTTCTCCATCTCTTGCATCTTTTCTGTGGGTCGGCAGAAAGCCCTGCCCGGGTGCCCCAAATCCACTGCGGGGCTTTGATTTGTCGGGGCTTCGAGCTAACATGTTCAAGGCGTGCGCAACGCATGGGTGTTGCTCTGAATCCGGGTTCCTTCACAACAGCTTACCACTCGACGTAAGGACCTTAGCAGCAGAATGAAGAACTACCTGCACATCCACGTCCCCACTCTTTCATGGTTCGCGGAACGGAAGCATCTCGAACTCTGCACGAACCCAGGAAAAGCGCTTGAGAGCTCCTGTCGGGAAGAGGCCCGGTCAGCGGACTGAACCTCAATAATCGCATGCGACGGCGTGTAACGCGATGGGCTTCCAAGGTCCAGTAAGGATTGCCGTCACTGTTGCAGGGCGCGTGTGCACCCTATCTTGTTGTTGCACAGTGCACAGACTGCATCAAGTCGTGCTGTGCAGAACTTCTGGGTGTCACAGGTCATGGCAGGTGCTGCTCTCCGAGCCCAACTTCATGGCGAATTGCAACATCGCAAGATTTCTGGTATGAGATTAGGGAATTCAACTGCAGGTTCCCGCCAGCGCTCTTCAAAGCACCACGACGACGACTACTACTGCTACTACTACTAGTACTACAAGTCTATTGCCCTGAGTTGGGCATACCGACTCTGCATGCCATATGAGCATACATCATGTCATGTTCAAACTAGCTTGCATGCTTCCTGGCACCTGAACTGCCTGCTGTCTGATAGTAAGGCGCTTGCCCCTCTGTCTCAGACCTGGCACACCAGAAAAGCTGCAGAAGGTGCCTGGTTACCAAGCAAGACCTTCCCTTAAGGGCTCGACGGCAAGAATACGACAACGTTTGGCTCAGGATCCTTCCTTCAGCCACATGCGTTGAAAAAACACGCCGGCGGCATTGTGCAGGGAACGGTTGAGACAAGTTTGCGAAATCCGCTTTCTGAGCGCGTGGCTCGGCAATCTCGTATTGCATGCATACTCCTGGCAGGCGAATGCGTGCCTCCGACTCTAACTATTGACGGCTCATCGTTTTGGAAACCTCACCTGACCGCTCCAGGATGTGGAGCAGACGTAGTGGCGAAACCTCCCGGGCACAGCTTCCCGTAGTTAAGCCAGGTGGGTTTTCGCCATGAGGTCCGTACACAACTCGGGGCAAAGGCATCCCTGCAGGTTCCGGCACGATCTCTCACCTTGGTAAGGCTGGCGCGCTTGGTTTTTGCGCATGACTCTCTTAAAGGAGCCCTTAAACTGTGCTCTCTTCTGAATAAAATCTGGGGCATCCACGAGAAAACGACACATGTCCGCAGCCTTAAACAGGAAAGGAGCCAGGGGTGAAAGTACGACCGGCGAAATCATGTCTACAGGCGAGCATTTCTTCTGCACAGAAGGCAGCAATGCAGCTGATGACAAAGACGCTGCATGCTGTCATCATGATCTTTGGACATCATGGGACAGGAAAGCAAACAAACTCTGGCCGACCAAGCCTTGGCGCGGATGTGCTTGTACATGTACGCTAGCGCCTTCAGAGTCTGAAAAGCGGGAGATTGGAAGAGTCTAGCTGATACTGTTAGAGACAGTGCTGGTGTGAACCTGATCAGACAAGATCTATATACTGCGATTGTTATGACCTTGACAAGTTTCGCTCTTCATTTTCTGCTGCTGCTACTTTGGCGACGATTTCGGGCCGAGGAGAACCTCCCAAAGTCGACAAGAGCCCGGCCTCATCCGCCCCTAGCTGCAGAGAGAGGCAGCGGTTGCGCCTGCAGCTACATCCAGGCGGGGCCACAACGAACATACAGGCTTTGCGCTGTTCAGTCCATCTTTGTTGAAAAAGCTTCGCAACTATCGTTCCGACTGTGTCCCTATCCTAATGATTTCAACATCAACAACAGCATCGCTTATTTTGACCTTGTGTAGAGATACCCTGCTTTTCTGTGGTGTCCAAAACTAGGACCTTTCTCTTTGCATGCAGTTGTAAATCGGTCCTCAGCAACAATTCCGCCCCAGAGCATCCATGGCTCAACCTTGACGACATCTGTGGGAGGGTCCGGATTTCGGGTCCCGGGTCCCGGGTCCGGATCCGAGTCCGGTTGTGGGGGTTGTTGTTGTTGCTGTCGTTGTCGTTGTCGTCGTTGTTGTTGTTGGTAAAGCCAAGAACAGCAGCCCGTAGCTGTTGCCAATAAGAAGCAATTGGGAATGCTCCCGGCGACCGCATAAGGTGCCTGTAGAGTTTTGGGGAATGCAAGCCATGGTTTACACAGCAACTGTCCCATGATAGACATGAAATATCGCCACGAATGCTCAATTATTGATAAGTTTGAATTGCAATGATGTTTCTAGTTCTACAGGACAGAAAGCTCATGCGTCCTCCTGTCCCGCAATCAATACCGAGATTGCTGTGGATGGTATGTTCAATGTCTTACTCACTCAGCTCGTCAACCCACTGACAAGCTAACCCGTGAACCAACTGACTGCAAACCACCAAGCCAGCTGCCTACCTACGCATGTAGAACCAAGCGGCCAATCCAACAATCAATCTATCGGTAGAAGAATCGAATCAGCTAAAACACTGCATGCCATCCAACCAAGCAGACGAACAGAATCAAATCAATCCATCGATCAGCCAGCATCATCAACGGCTGAAGAGCAGCAGCAGGAATAAACAACAGTGCACGACGACTGCATCCACGGCATGTCGGTGCTATTCTTCCAGCTCAAACGACCGGATTCTGAAGTTTTGCCAGCAGTTCGGCATTTGCACGGCTGAGGGCAGAGCAGGTCCGGTGCCTTTCCGAAGAGGCGTGTCTCCTGTTGAGATGCTTAACACACACCTCCATGTGTAGGGTTTGGGGTTGAGAGCCGTGCATAGCTTCAAACATGCCAAGCTGAGTGTTCCGTTCGTCCGCAGCTTCCGGTTCTTCTCCAGCTATCAGCTATTCCGGTGGGTGTCGTGCGAATGCTGCAGTATGCAGGTCATCTGCCCGAGCTTGAAAGAGACAATCTCTAATCCAAAACTGTATATCATGAGCCCAGCTGTTCCGTACTCTTCAACAGCACGCATGCACTCCCCGACCTCATCAGGGTTGATCCGGATGTACCTTGCTGCCAGCTGGCTAGGATTGCCAGGGGGTTCAACCATGCCCTGGCCTGGCAGAGCGGAAAGTCCGCATGACCTGACAAGGACTGTCAAAACACCACCTCCTCCTCTTGTGATTGCATAACAATGCTCAGGATTCCCCAATTGCCTGGATCAACTCGTCCCTGACATCTGCCACCTGACAGTGCCAGGGGTCGTGAACGCTCAAACACCACCACCGCGCAAACTACGACGACGACTACGACTGCTACTATCACTATTACCGCTAGTAACAGTAACCCCACTAATACTGGTATTGTCATTGCTACTACTACTGCTAGGCCTACTACTAGTAGTAGTCGTACTACCTACTACTACTACTACTACTACTACTGCTACTACTACTACTACTACTGCTGCTGCTACTACTACTGCTACTACTACTACTACTACTACTACTACTACTACTACTACTACTACTACTACTACTACTGCTACTGCTACTGCTACTGCTACTGCTACTGCTACTGCTACTGCTACTGCTACTGCTACTGCTACTACTACTACTACTACTACTACTACTACTACTACTACTGCTACTGCTACTACTACTACTACTACTCCTGCTGCTGCTACGACGACGACGAGACGACTACGATGACTACGACTACCATCAAACGAACTAATACTGCTTGGGCTTATGTTGATGATGATGAGGATTATGAGGATGATGATAAGGATGATGACTATGAGGATGATGATGAAGATGATCAGGTGAACGATGATGTTGAAGATGGCGAGGATGATGGTTATGAAGATGATGATGAAGATGGTCAGGTTAATGTTCATGTCACTGCCTTTGGCGATCATGCCGAAAACACTGGTATTTACAGCATTTTTTGCTCTTTGTACAACATGCTGCACAAGGATGTGGAGCAAGACACGTTGTCACCAGCATCCTACTACTGCTACTGCTACTGGCGCTACTGCGCTACTGCTTGCGGTCAACCATGTCGTTATTAGCCCCCCCCCACCCCCCACCCCACCCTCCCCGGCACCCTAGCAAAACGCCCCAAAACGCAGAAAAACACAGGTTAACGCCAGGCGCCAGGAGGCGCGGTTGGATACTACTACTGCTGCTGCTGCTGCTACTACTACTACTACCACTACTACCACTACTACTACTACTACTACTACTACTACTACTACTACTACTACTACTACTCCAGTACTACTACTACTACTACTACTACTACTACTACTACTACTACTACTACTACTACTGCTACTGCTACTGCTACGGCTACGGCTACGGCTACGGCTACGGCCAAGGCTGCTGCTACTGCTACTACTGCGATTGCTACGACGACGACTGCTACGACGACGACTACTACAACGACTACTACTAGGATACTCCTGCCACTGCTACAAGTACTTCAACTACCAGCACCACCACCACCATCACCGCCACCACAGCCACCGCCTGTACAACCGCCACAACCTCTACCACTAGCACCACCACTACCACTGCGACTACGACAACGACGAGACCACGACGATGGCTACGACTTCGACTGTGATTAGGAATCTGACTATGACTACCTCTTCTACTGGACCTCCTCCTCCTCCTGCTCCTACTCCTACTTCGCCTCCTCCTCCTACTTCTACTCCTACTCCCACTCCTACCACTCGCACTCCCACTCCCACTTACCAACTAGTTCTACTACAACACGACTACTACTACGACAACCACAACTACGACTGCGACTACTGTTATTACTACTACGACTACTACTACTACTACTACTACTACTACTACTACTACTACTACTACTACTACGACTACTACTGCTACTACTACTACTACTACTACTACTACTATTAGTACTACTACTACTACTACTACTACTACTACTA